ATGACTTCTATTACTCGTATTTGTTGATATGCAGGTGATAGTGATGATAGTTTCTAAACTAGCACTCGTTTCGTACACTACTTTATTAATTTCTATACCAAATCTATAATTTTAATCTAATCCAATAACTATGTTGTACTTAAATGAAATTTTTACAAAAGATAGATTCTGCTATAAAAATCCACCTAAAACTTACGGGGCAATTCTGGCTAAGATAGTTGCAAGTCTTTTGTAAGACAATTGAAACTCCATAGGGAAGTTAGTTTGAAAGATTTTGTTTATTCTGGAACGAAAGTCTTACGCAGAAAGCTTTCTTGCCAACTTTCATGCGAAAAGCTCTTTTCACAGCAAGCATATTCCAAATGGAGATTAATATTATTTTGCTCGCGCTGCCAACAGTCGCAATGGCTAAGTGCTAACGACTGGCGTGCCATTCGAGAGATCCGAGGTTGGAAGTCTCGGGTAAGGATTTTTATCTTTTTTAATTTGATTTTTTTTTTAATAATTTTTTTTTTATTTATTTTTCCCTTTAATTTTTTAAATGTATTGTAAAAATAAATACTTATACAGTGGTGGAAAAATAAATAGGGACACGACATTTTTGCAAATTTTGCCTATTTTTCTTTCGTTTATTTAATATTTGTAATTTTTTTATAAAACTGTAGCTCATTATCTAACCATATAAATTCATGTTTCAAACTTTGTGAAAAAATTATAAAAATTCTGTAAAACTGCATCTAAATTTTCAACTTTTTAATCAGGTTTTGTAGAATTTGTTTAGTATGTAGCCCATTAAATTTTAGTAGAATGAAGTGTAAGTTTTAAGTTGCTAAAAGATCGCGCTGATTTTTGGAAATTTTTTTGTGCATTTTCCTCCATACAAGGTATGTTCGAAATTTTTTTTTGTTTGGAAAAAAGTGCGTAATACATTCAGAATAAAAATTATTAAAAATCAACGCGATTTTTTAGGAACTTCAAAATTGCACTTTATTCTACTAAAATTTAATGGGCTATAAAACTGCATACAAAATTCTAAAAAATCTGATTAAAAAATTGAGAATGTAGATGCAATTTCGCAGAACTTTTTAATATTTGCATAAATAATAAATATTACATAAACAAAAGAAAACTAGGAAAAATTGGTTGAAATATCTTGTCACACCACTGTATGTGCTTTTTCCATGAAATTTTTAGAGACTTATTTGATATATTTTTTCAGTTAAATCTTTTTCAATTTATTTTTAGATTTTATTGTTTGGAAAAGAAGTATTTCTTGATTAAATTTTATTTTTAGAGATTTATTTTATTCTAAAAAATCTGATTAAAAAGTTGAAAATGGAGATGCAATTTTGCAGTTTTTATAATTTTCGCACAAAGTTTGAAATGTGGAATTTATATGGCTTTTGTTAGATAATGAGCTATACTTTTGTGAAAAAAAAACAAAAAATATTAAATAAACAAAAGAAAAATAGAAAAATTTTTTTGAAATGTGTTGTCCCCATTTATTTTTCCACTACTGCATATACTTTTTTTTCCATTTAATTTTTAGACACTCATTTGATATATTTTTTTAGTTAAATTTTTTTCGTTTTTTTCTATTTAATTTATAAATTTTATGGTTTTAAAAACAAATATTTTTTAATTTCATTTTATTTTTGGGCATTTCTTTTGTTTTATTTTCTTTTTTTAAAAATTTATTTTTTTGTAATTTTTAGATTTATTGTTTAAAAAAAAAATTGTATTTTCATTTACTTCTTTCGTTTTTTTGTAATTTTTACTTTTTTTTTAATATCATTTCTGTTTTAATTTCATTTAATTTTTATAAACTTATGTATTAATTAAATTTAATTGAAATTTATTTCTCTTTCAATTTGATTTTCTTTTAATTCTTAATTTGTACTGCTTTAAAAAACATTTTTTTATTTCATTTAATTTTTATAAGTTAGTTTATTTTTTTATTGTTTATTTTTTTTTAATTTTTTAGTGATTGAATTTTTAGTACTATATTTTTTTTTGTTTTTATAAATATTTTTTTCATTTAAAATTTGGCATTTTTGAAATTATGAGCTAAAAATGTACACACAGTTTTTATTTACCTTTCAGCAAAATCTGGAGCAAATGTTTGCTATAATTTGTTAAAAGGAAAACCTAAGGTAAAGTCGCCCTCGTATTTTCTGACGAACGTATTATTTTGAGTTGTGATTCTTTTGAAGACGATGTGCGATATTATCGTTTTAAGCAACCATCTGTTTTTCAGGGCAACCATATCCCCTGACAAAGCTTCATAGGGCAGAATAGGTGCCTTCTTTGACTTACAAGAGTGTGACATTTTAAGAAACGAACACAAAATGTTTTCACTATTTGCCTTAATTTGGAATCGAACACGAAAAGAGAAAGGGGCAATAAAAAAGCGACAAAGAAAGAGTAAATAAAGAAAACTGCCCTCTTTTCGAAAAGTTTCAAATTTTATCCAAAAAAACGTTTGCATTTAACAAGCTACTGCTAAATTTTCAACATTATCTACTTGTCGAGGACTCACAAATTTACAATATTGTTACAAATATGTTTTAGGGATGAACTGGATTAGAATGACAACAAAGTTAATAGCTGCTTAAATTTTTGCACAATTTATTAAAACGAACCAAAAAGCCACACACTTTTAATATCTTTAAATAAATGAAGATTGTTTTTAAATTGCTACATACCTCGCACATCGGCTATTTCGGCAGCTTCTCGTTGCT